GCTGTTTACCTTGGGGCATGTTAATCATAATGAAACTTTCCAACAGGCTCCTTTTATGCCCTTGCCTTCTTGTATAGAGACTTATAGGGATAAGAATCGGTTCTGGGATGGGAGTCTTAATGGATATCCTGCTTGGCTTTCTTGTGGTTTTCCGCACTCAGCTACTAAGCAATCTCCACTGGGAATATCCTTGGAGATTTGGGACTTTTCTGCTTCTTCTGGCTCTTATGATTATAATTCATATTTAAAGAATAATATGAAGAAATTCCATAAATACAACCCAAAGGATTTAATGGGAGAAAAAATTCATCGCTGGTTCACTCCAGGTTATGTAGAGCCTATCTGGGTTGCTAGAGATCCTGAAACACAACAATATGTTAAGCATTATAATTTATTTAGATTGACTGCCAGTGCTAATGTTATTCTTCAGAAAAGGCCTAAGGAAACAGTTTCTATTCCTTATGCTGTCCGTTCATGTGTAAGCTATCCGTTTGCTATATTACTTGGTCATCCTATGCATGTAAATATTACTGTTGTAGATGGTTCTTATAGGATTTTTTGTCATACATGTCGCTTGACTAATTACATTGATTCAATTTTAGATAAGAAATTATCAGTTATTATTTTGGTTAAGAGACCACCTTATATTATGTTGCCTGTTGATCTGATGAAGGATTGGTATGAAAATTCTGCTTTACAGATATTGAAAAGTTTACATGCACTTATTAGAACTAAGAGATTTGTTGCTGCATTAATTTTAGGCATATCTGCCTTAATAGCTATTATTACCACCTTTGCTGTAGCTACCACCGCCTTAGTACAAGAAATCCATACTGCTCATTTTGTTAATGAATTAAATAAGAATGTTACCTTGGTTTTGTCAGAACAGTCCCTTATAGATAAGAAATTAAAAGCAAAGATTAATGTATTAGAAGAAGTGGTACTGGCTCTTGGACAAGATTTGGTTAATATTCAGAATAGATTAGAGACGAGGTGTCATACTGCATATCAGTATATTTATGTCACTCCTCTGCCTTATAATACAAGTCAAAGTTGGGAAAAGGTGAAGAATCATCTACAAGGAGTCTAGAAAGATTCAGATACCACTCATGACATGGAAGCTTTACAGAAAGATATCACGGCTATGAGTAAAGCTCATTTGGAGAGTGGCTCCTTGGATGCCTTAGCTCGTGATCTTGTGTCAAATGTCCGCTCTCTTAATCCTCTAGATTGGACACAATACTTTGCATTCATTGGGGTATTGATTCTTATTTTCTTTTGGTTGTGTTATTATTTACTTTTCTTTTTAAAATTATCCTATGTTCCCTACACACAGTGAGGTGTGATCTGCTGGAGCTGCATCTTAAAAACAAAAAACGGGGAAATGCCACACCAACTCCAGTGTCGTCCGTGTGACATGAACAATTATGTCAATAATAGCGGACGGGAGATACGTGTCCCAC